AGCTGTTTTGCTGCTTGGCTTCCCTACCTTCTACTTTGTGACCTTCGGCCCCATTGTCCCAGCATCAGAGCAACTAGGTGATGATGTGCTTCCCTGGTTGATGGGTAAAATCTTTTTGCATATTCCATAGCTCAGTTGAGGACTGGAGTTGAGAAGTCACCTCTTCTTCCTCTTCCCCTGATTCATGTAATAATATCTCCTGATCAGATGCTGTCCCTTGTAGTAACTGCTTTGCTTCTTCATCTTTCTTCACTGTATGGGTTACTTTTTGTGCCTCTTGTTTGCTTTTCCCCTTGCATACAGGGGCAACTGATACTGGCACAAATTGGTCCTTTGGTTTAGCTGCAGTGACTGTCACCATGGTTGGAGTGTCTGCAGTATCTGTTGTCAGGGTTGGTGCAGCCACTGTGCTTGGGTGTTGAGTAGCACCAGTATCTGCGCTGTCTGTTGCTGTCGGGGTTTGAGTAGCTGCTGTACTTGTCATTGGAGTGGGTGTAGTTACTGTTTTTGGAGCTGGAGTAGCTGTGTTGTCTGTTGTAGTCAGAGTTAAGCATAACTGCTGTACTTGTCACTGGGGTTGGTGTATCTGCTGTATTTGGAGTTGGAGTAGCTGCACTGTCTGTTGCTTTGCCATCAGGTCCAGAGACATTTTGTTCACTTTGAAGGTGCTGGATAGTGTTGAACAAGGCTCTGTAAGCACAGGCCAAGCCCCAGCACATTGCCATGATTTGTCCCTCTCTGATATGATCAGGATGACAACACACCTCATTTAAGTGTTTTACTAATTTTTCCAGATTTTGTACTTCTTCACTGGTGAAGTTCCAAAGCACTGGAGGGGCCCACAGGCCTAGATACTTGCCCATGCTATCCCACGCACCCTGCCACTCATGGCTGTCCAGCCTTAGGGAAAATCTCGTAGTCCTCCTATATCATTGTCTAACCCTAGACAAGACCCAAACCTGACTTTTCTTAACTTTTGAGATCAGATGAAATGGTCATGGGTAAAACACACTCTGAATGCGTGCCAACATGGTGATCCCCATCACAATCAGCAGGCAGGTCTCAAGGGTACCCAAAGGCCATTCAGAACCTTCAGAACTCTCAAATGATGCTGTAAGTAGTCTGGTGGGGGAGCTGGGAACATAAAGGAATGTTTCCTTCGTAGGTTGACCACCTGAGGAGGGGTAAAAAGATGTGTAATTGCTTAACACTTCCATTATATACCTCCCAAATTGTAGAGGTGATGACCACACTGGGAATTCAAGCCAGATCAGTTTCATGATCAATGAGTCTATTGTATTACAAGTCATTACCATAAAGTACAACAGAACAAGAACCTTAGCCCAAGCGCCCCAGCCAATAAACACTAAACCACAAAATACTGGCTGTAAGTAAGGTATGACATGCTGAAACTGTGAGATCAAGAGCAACAACTTTGAGAGACAATAATCAGCATTGTGACAAGTGACTATTAATCAGAAACAATAAATGCTTATCACAAATGTGATTAGAAACACTCTGGTCAGATCTGTCGTTATCTCAACCCTTTGTGCCCCACATTGGGTGCCACAAAGAACTGTAGTGGTTTGAGCCCAGCCAGTAACTCAGAACCACGCAGCCGCTCACTCACTCCCCCACTTCCTCCCCCCAACTCCCAGAGGGATGGGGAGGAGAATCGAAAGATGTAACTCCCACGGGTTGAGATAAGAACAGTCCAGTAACAAACCACTACTGCTGCTGCCACCAATAATAATGATAAGGGAAATAACAAGGGGAGATAATACAACTGCTCACCACCCACCAACAGATACCCAGCCCAACCTGAGCAGCGATCTCACCCTTCCAGGTAACTCCCCGCAATTTATATACTGGGCATGACGTGCTGTGGTATGGAATACCTCTTTGGCTAGTTTGGGTCAGGTGTCCTGTCTCTGCTTCCTCCCAGCTTCCCCTCCTCCCTGGCAGAGCATGAGACTCAGAAAGTCCTTGGTCAGAGTAATCATTACTTGGCAACAGCTAAAACCATCGGTGTTACCAGTGTTGTTCCCACACTGAAAGTCAAAAACACTGCGCTGCACCAGCTACTAAGAAGGAGAAAAATGACTGCTGCTCCTGAACCCAGGACAAAAAGATGAAGAAAAAAAAATAATGAGTTGATGGCCTGCTGCCAGTCAAGCTTGCAGGTGGTCTCACTATGAATATACAAATACCTAATTAAAAGCTGATGTAATTGTTGTTCTGATAGTTTCCTCTTGATATTTAGAATTTACATGTTTTATTACTATCTTCTTTGCAGACTTTGACATCTTTGAATACATTTTGATTTGATATAATGAGGTTAGTAAGGATACATGGACAAAAATTTTATTAAGACACGTGAGCAGTGGAAAGGAGGCTGTTTTGAAAAAAAAAGATTATGTGCTTGACCAATCTTTCTCCACTTTTCTAACTCCCTTTCTACTTGGGCCTTAATTGTAGAAACTTGTGACCCGCCTGCGTAAGTATTTTAGAATGAAGATATTTTAGGATAAAAAAAGATAGTTATATAATTATTTCTTATAATGAGATGCTTCTTAGTCCAGCATGAAAGCTGTTGAACTGAGAGGCTTGAAACTAAGCCTGAAAGCACAGCTTGAACACTAGCACTAAGCAAATCTTTTCACTGTTTTACATTTCACCCATCTGCGAAACGGTATTGACATTATTTGTAAAATACTTTATGGTCTGCAGGTAAAAAATGTTCTCTGAGAACAAGATAACATTCATGGTCTTGGTAGCGTCTGTTCCGTGTTATGTTTGTATTGTATTTGACGCAGCATTGTAACATTATGCTTCATGCTGTTCTGCTAGCCCTTTTTCCCACTCATTGTGACATTTCCCTTAGGATATGAAAATCCCCTATAATGCTCTTAAGACTGGGTTATATCAACGGCAGCCAGCAAAACCACCTTCAGGCAGCAAAACCACTTTCACAAATGCATGGTAAATCATTAGTAAAATATATGTATCAGTAGCCATTAACCCCACCTTTCCCCTCATTCCTAGAATCACTACTAGGATCTCTTTTTATATCTTGTGTATTTAATTAAGTTTTCATGAATGAGGAGCCGTCCTTTCCTCCCCGTCGCCTCCCAGTAAGCATATGATTTAGGATAAATAGCATGTCCAGTATCTCTTAGCTAGCATTACAAGGAGAAAGCAGAGCCTCGTAGGAGGTAAAAAAGCAAGCTCTTACTTTTCCTTGTGAACTCACCATTCAGTTTTCTAGAAGGAAACAAAGGTATTTTATGTATTATCAGAGTTGGTTACAAATTCAGGTTTAGTAGATTAATTCCAAAGAATTAAAGCTAATTAAAGATTTATGCACATTAGTGGTCTTTTACATTTAGCTGTGCATTGTGTTTTACTGGGTAAAAGATAACCACCTTCTCAAAAGACAAAAGATAACTACAGGTATTTTTTGAGCTTTACTGAGTATCTATGTCCTACTCTATTCACTCTGACACATGGGAGGGGGGAGCCAAATTAATTTCATTTTCTGGTTGTGCATAGGCCTACTTAAACTGCAGTTTCACTGAAAGATCAAGCTGGCCTTCATTAGTTAAGCCACTGTAACTTGATTGTGCCATGGACAGCTCTGGATTCAATACCATCGATAGATAGCACTTTTGACAAGAGGGCAAAAATAGCTTCAGAATATTTTTCATGTTTGGCCATCAGTATCTTCCAAGTTACTTCCTCTGGGAATAATTTGAATGGAGGAGCTGTTTGGATGCGAGTAAAGAAGATACTCAGATTTTAGCCACTGCAAAATAGGTTTTGCCCTAAAAATCTGTCTTCTATCTTCCAAAGTGTTTTGATGATATTTACACTTGAGTTATGAAAGATACTGATCAAAATATTTTTAGCCTCAAGCATTTACAAAATAATTTGTCATGCTCCCAGATTATTTAAATATCATAGGTTTTTAAAAACTCAGGGCAATGAAGTTAAGCTTTTAAGATTTTCTTTATCTGGAGAAGCCTACTGACTGTGCTTAGTTTATATAATTTATAAATTTATTTCTGTAATTTATATTTGAAAACCTAACTTTTTTAGTAGTAGGAATTTTGATAAAACTGCAAAATGAAACAAAAGAAGTAGAAGAAGAATTATTATATCTGAACACCAACAACAGCAAGGTAGGAGTTAATGAAAGGCCTTGTTACCTTCCCAGCTGTAGCTAAGCTGCTAGTAAGAAATTGGCTGGCATGAAATATTGCAGCTGAAATTTGAAAGGGGCAGTAGATGGAGAGGATGCCTAGGAGAGGGTTAGAGAAACTGCAAAAAGAATAATACTGCAAGGAAGATTGCTACATGAGAAGCAAGAAGGAGACTGAGGCTGATAGGGAAGAAGTACTTGCTTCTCATTATATTCCCTGTGGTTGAAGTTCTGAAAGGCAGGTGAGCTAGCATGCATTACATTAGTGCAAGAAGAAATGTAAAATAGTCAGGATTTATTTAGGCTTGGGCTAAAAAAGGCAAGAGGCTAGACCTATTGCTCACAGTTTGCATGAGCTTCCAGATTGTATGGAGAGATGGGATTAATGATCATGAAAGCACTACTGCAGTGACAACAGGGAGGTGTCAAAGGTGTCATTGAAGCCTTGCAAAGGCATATCGTCAGAAGATACTCAGAAGCCTTCTTTAGCCTTATGGATTCAGCTGAAGGCCATTATATAAGGCTAGAAGGCTCATGCATAAGCAGGCGAGGGGAAAGACTGTAGTTACTTTTTTCTAGTTTATGTAAAAATTGTTGTGGCAGTCTTGCTTTTCTTCATCCTGTCTTAAGTGACTTTAAATTGTATGTTGATTGGTTCATGTCATACAGGTTTGAAACCTACAGAGCTGAGGTTAAAAATAAACACCTCAGTACAACAGTAGGTTGGATTCTAGATAGAAAAATTAATTCACTCTTTCTTACTGTAACTCCAGTTTCAATGTCTTTTCCTTACATCTAGGCCATGTGTTTATACGATGGGATCGCCAATAAACAACAGAGCTCTTTTCCCATGCCAAGAGCCACCTATTGCCTTGTCAACGTGGCAGGCCTCCGTCCGAACAGCTGCAGACTTTGTTGTGTTAATGAGTGGTGAAAACTCAGCAGAGCCAGTCCAGCTTCAAGAAGGTGAGATATACTTTCTACAGCAAATTATTTTCAATAATTTTATAATTATAAATGTAGCTTAGTAGATATGTAATAGTTGAAATAATGAAATTCCTAACCTGAAAAGCACTTACTTGTCTGATTACATATCTGTAATCTCCATATCGTTCTATGGAAAGTTACTTGCCCAAGGCCTCAGGTTAGGAATAAGAATTCAAGGCATCTACATTTCACTGTGTTATTTCTACTTACTTTTTTCTGAGGTTTTATTCCTTTACTTTTCCCAAACTTTACTTTTCTAAACTTCACTTGGATTTAATCACTCTACAGTTGAACGTTTCATAGATGAGGTACTTTATCAGGCTCTTGACAACTTCAGGCCTTGGTAAATCATTAACTTCCAGTTTTAGTTTTCCAGTCGAAGTATAGATCAACATGCCAGTGATTAGAAGCGGTCATTGTGTCATGTCTGTTTCCTGAGATATATGGAATAGATGAAGAATATCAGGTCAGTCCCCTGCAAATCTGGTCTTTGGGGTTTTTTGACATTGGTAGATAATACATTGTGCAGCAGTAAGCAAGCAGATATTTTTCTTTGGTGTTGTTTATTCTCTAAACCTCTGTCTTCACAAAGAAGGAAGTTTTTAAGGCAGTTCTACGGGTAATACAAAGTATGTCTTGCTTCCATAGTTTTGAGATAATCTGTCAAACTGGGTCAGTTATTTTCTACCATAGTTCTGATGAAAAGTAGCATATAGAAAACAGAATAGATGTTTATGGGGAAAAAAACCTCTTATGTTCCCCTTCAAATTTACTCTTGAGGGGGAAAAAAAAAAGTCTCCTTGATTTGAGAACCATCGGTTAATCCATTTGCATGGAATTATCTGATTATTTTTGGCCATATGTGAAGCCTGTTTCAAGCCTTGTCTCTGCTGTTGAAATATGGAAAGCTGCCATGATAAGTGCTCAGCTCACTTGGATAATACTACTTTCCTGTCTCACATCAATAAAGCAAGCGTGCTATTGCCTTCAGATCAGAACAGCTCTGCCATCATTGTTTGATTAATTTAATCCACACTTAACACCTTTCTAAAGGGTTTTTGCTTGTCTGTCCCTCAGTGGTGGCTATGTGGTATGAAATTTTAAGAGCAAGAAGAATGCTTATGTGAATTTCTAGAAATAGAAACCTTGGAAAAACTTCAGGCAATAAAAATTGTCATAGGTCAGTTAAAACTGATACTTTCTTAGACCAACTAGCTATTTGAAAATATTGTGAAATAATTATATCCTTATTAACATGTTTTGTCATTTAGTTTAAAACACCTATTAAAAATTTATACTTGAATAAAGAAAAAAAAGATAACTAGTTGTGGGAAAAAACAGCTTAAAAATGCTGTTGATGGAGTGTTGAGAATTAAATCAGAGTACCCTGTCATTAATGATAGCACTGGGGCTTAGTTACCTAAAGTCAGCCTTGTCACCCATAGAGGACAGAAGGGGCTTTTATTTAAATCCTTGTAGTTGTTGCAGTGGATTACTTTATGTTGGTCATTCATGTGTCAGCTTAAAGCTTTGTTTGGTTTAGGTTTATTTTTTGTGTTTGGTGTTTTTTTGTTTTGTTTAGGTTTTTTTAATTTTCCAATGTCTGACCCAGTATATTTCCTTTCCTATGAAATGTGAAAGCAAGAAATACTGTAAGAAGTCTTTAATGGAAAGACTAGTAGGGAGGAAATGACTCATTTTAGCTTCACTGTGCTATTGAAGTGCTGAGTGGAAAGTGTGAACTGGGAAGAACCAAATGAAGCATTAAAGCTGGCTCTTTTAGGAGCCATGTGACAATGTCAAAGTTTTGTGCTGAACTTAACTGAAGAGAAGCAGCAGAAGCACCTAGTGCATTTCTGTCCTTCTACCTTTCCTCATGATGGAATTCCCAAGAGTGTGGAAGTCCCTGCTTATGGACTATGTGGGACACACACAATTACTTAGGCTACTTTTGATGTCATGATGCGAAGTTGCTGGGTTTCTTTAAAGGTAGTAGGCATTTTGCTCCAATAGCTCTCAAAGACTTAATCATGGATGAGGCCTTGTAAAAATATGCAAAACAGGTATAGAGGAAGAAGGGGAAAAAATAATATTGTGAGAAATATTATAAGAACCAGACAAACCCAACGCTCAAGTGCTAATCTGAAGCTTGGGTAAATTCTTAATGAATTTAGAAATACAAATTCATTAATTTAATTAAGAAAACCTGAAGAGTTAAAAAGCTAAAAGTGGTCTGTAATGTTAAATAACCTGTCCTACATAGATTGTGTTGTTAGGCAGTTATGCAGGGAATATGAAATCTGTCCATCTTAAAATTTTGTCTTTATATTTGTAAAACATACCTAAAAGTCTTTCAGGGTGGCTTCAATTAGAATAACTTTTCTTTGACAAATTATTTATATACACTATGCTATTGTTGTACTGCATATTTATGAAATCCTAGATAACAGACAGAACACAAAAATACATTTTTAAAATGCAGTTGCTATTTTGGCAAGCAGTTGTGGATGAATTTATTCTGAATAGAATTACAAGTTATCTGAATATTTTTTCCTTTAAACATCGTCACAAGTGTGCAAACAGACAATAAAAGAACACCAAGCAAGGATGATACCTTCATTCTTTTAAACAGAGCTCTGCATTCTGCTTCACAGACCTACATCTCTAGAGGCACAGATGCTGTAATCCAGAGTATTAGGTAGACTAGTAACACACACAAACTCCTCGTTTCGCCACTTGTATTTGCAGATTTTGGTAACAGCGTACTTTATTCTGTATGTTCCATTTCTGCATTCTGCCTCTTACTAAACTATGGCTCATCCTGTCATTTGAAGTAAAGTGAGGCCACATTTGTTTGAAAATACTGATACTTCACCTACTCAAGTACGTATTGTAACTATTCAAGTATGACTTAAAAGTGCGTGAGAATACCAAGCATTCTTTATGGAGTACTTAGAGAAAATAAAAAAATTGTTAGAAAAATGCAACTGACAATGCCTTTTGGCAGAAAGCTTTACAGGGATCACTCTGGATGTGTAATGTGAACCATTCAACCAACGGATTTATTTTGCAGCACTTGACAGTTTTATTTTCCTTCAGCATATTGCTGTAACACATAGAAGGTGCAAATGTATTTGGTCACAAGTACCTTTATATTTGTTTTAATTCATGTTTAAGGTGTAAATATCCAAGCATGAAGTGTGAAATTGACTGGCTTGCTCTTTGTGTGGTTACATTATGTAGCCAATTATTTTGTTTTGCCATCTCTGATACCAATGAGAAGGTGTATTCTATTATTGAGAGGAAATACTGTGGTGGAGAAAGCACCGGTATTGCTATGTAGCTAGCAGCAACAGTAGTTGTTTTTGTGTGTTTGCTCTCCTCTTGCTTTTCACAAGGCAAAACGAGTCCAGTGCTTGTGTTGATTGATCTCCAGCATGTATCAGGAGCTGCAGCACAGGAGTTGACAGCTCATCCCATGCTACTCATCCTTCCAAGCCAGTGCTACTCATCCTTCCGAGCCAGTGCTGAACTGATGCCCTGGCATGAATGTGCTCTGTGGGAAATTCTGGCTTGCAGATGAGATCAAAGATTTCTACAAGTTACAGAGAATTTTAGAAAGCTGGAGGGCTCTTAGTCCTGGTACTCCAACCAAAGAGTAGTTTTGGCATAAATACTTATTTAGCTACAGTTTTATGTATTAGCACTAGCTCCTTACTTTGCATATCAAATGATGTGTGGGACTATCTCTCTTTTTCCTTAGAGGTAGCTGAGTTTTGTGGTTTTTTTTTTTAGTAAATCATCGACATTGTATGTATTTTGTGCTGTTTATATTTGTGTTAGTGTAAACTGTTTGAAAGAAAATATACTATAAGTAAGAATACTGTTAATGTCCTTGCATTTGGCATTATCAGATACTGACTGGTACATGTTTCTTCAGTTATAAAGGACTCCACAGGGCTCAGAACAATGCTAAATGAATTAAAAATTCTAGGGAGTAATTACATCATTCATCATTATTATTTCAAGTAGAAGAAATAAATGGCCTTTAAATTGTTCTTTTGCACAATTATAAATAGATTATTTTTTCCTACCCTTGTTAAAAGTAGTTCTAATTTTTGCATGGAAAGTTTTCCACTCACAGCTCATGGAGTAGGTGATTGTTGTTGCACAGTTTGTTCAGTTATGACATGATAGATTTGATTTGCAGAACTGAAAAAAAAACCTTAAAAATATTTCAAAATTACTTGTAGAGAAAATATTTTGAAGTATTATAATTGCCTAAAATAATTTATGTGTAGGAATCAAGTTGCTTTTAAATTGCCTGGTTGTAGTGAGAGGATATTAGCATTACAAATAAAAGGACCAGTGCACTTTTCCTCTGTTTATTCTATGGGCAAGCCCCAGCTTAGTCTCTTGTTCTTCCCAACATTTCCTTGCTTAATCTGGAAGTGTTTTTGTGGTACAAAATACTGGCTTTGGTAAAGCAAGCCATCTTCCCCTTCAGCTGCATTGTTTTCTCTTACCCTGGAGGTGGTGCTGTCTCCAAGGCTGCCCTTTGGAAACCAGAGGGCAGCCAGGGGAAGGGAGCAGTAGCATAGAGTTTGTAATCCCAGTCTGTACCCTGGGATAGATCTGAGGTTAGAGATAAAGGGAAACAGAACAAATCCCCTGGCCTGAAGAAAGTTAAGGGAAGGGAAATCATGGAGAAAAGGGCAGGTTGGAAGACAGTCTTACCAGTAGTGAGGGGAAAAGACAGACGGTAAATGAAGCTTAGACTCTTGAAACAGTAATGCATGGTGCTTGCTGGAGGGAACTGTTGCCAATATAAAGACTATTTCAGTTGTCCGTCAGTGAACGCACTATAGAGAGAACTCAGCTGTCATGCCAGAGCATGTGATTTCGGCTATTCAAGGCAAAACAACTGTGGTATAACTATATAGTCACCCTTCACAGTTCAAGAGTATGAACGCAGAAGATACATTGAGCCCCAGTTAGGTGTGTAAAGACAGTATAAATCTTGGATTTTGTTCTGGGAGTATCCAGAGTTCACATGCTTTCTATAATGTCTGCAAAATACAAGGGGCATGGAAACAAGACGAGGATCTGTATGTTAGTTGCTTTTCTTTTCTTCAGGAAATCCAAATTTAGAGAAATCTGAAAACACATACCAAGAAAAGCTAACTGACTTTGGTACCTTCACCTTTTTCTAGGGTTTGCTGCAGCGTCAAATAGCATATATTCATTGCTAATACCTGTAAATTTGTGAATACAGTACAAGCCGTTCTTTTCTCTGGACTGTTAAACTGATTCCCCATTCATTTTGACATTCTATTCAATCTACCTATGTTTTATAAGAAACCTCTATGGTCTTGCTTGCTCTAGCCTGTTTTGCTGAACTTGTTTCTCACCATAATCCTCTCTGTTCCCTTTGTTTGCACACTACAGGCCCACAGACACACTTTCCATGTAGCCAATCTCCTCACTGTTGTGACAGCTTTCTCCTTTACATCTTCTGCCGTTTAGAGCAGTTTTCTGTGACTGCCTTTTGACATTCATGCTTTTTTCAGAACTCAATTGAAAACACATTAGTTTTTCCATTACGATTCCTCAGATTTTTACTCCTCCTCAGCTGTTACTTAACTCTTAAGGTTTTACAATTAGCATAACTGCATAAAACATTCTGTAATGCTTTGTATGTAACAGATTCCACGTAAAGTGCAGTACTGTAGCCTACCTGTGGGCCTGCTTGTGTACAAATCTAAGTCAATGGGAAAGCTGGTATTAATGACAGTGTGTCAATAAAACTCTCCACATCAGGAGTCTGGTATTTCAAAATAATAAATTGTTGATCTCCTGGGTGACTTCTTTCTCTCCAGGTGTCATTTATTTGCCTTAGCTCATTTGTAGCCTTGGTAAGTTCATTGAAAAAAAAAAAGCAACCCAAAAAAGAGGAGGTGGAATTTGAAAAATAGTTATTATCCACCTTGTTCCTAATGTGTTTTGAGCAAATAAGTTCCTTGTGCTCACATGCTGACAGGAGGTTAGGAAAATTACAGGAGTAATGTATGTTCACCTAACGAACAATACAGACAAAAGGTTTGTGAAGGTAGTGGTGAATGTTGCCGAAAGTAGAATGGAGTGAAAGAGTGTAAGTGGTTGCTAGTGCCTGTAAGAGGCAGAGGCTTTGTCTTCATCTCAGAAGACTTCACAAACACTATTGTTTTGTTGTACTAAATAGTAGGTGGAAAATTTGTTGAGGCTTTGTTTTTCTTGTCCTTCCTTTGTACAGCTTGATCTGTGGGCATTAAGGTAGGAAACCCACAGATGCTTTGCTGCAGTTGTTTATTTCCTTTCCTCTGTGCCTTGTGGCCTCCCCTCTATTGTTGGTTTGGGTTTTTTTTTCCATTTTTTTCCTTTTGATAGTCTTCCATAGCTGTGGTCATAATACTATTGCAAAAGAACAAGTACATGTTCTCTTAAAATAACCAGAGTTTGTATGTGTCCACAGTTGCCACAGCTACAGTTATTTGCACATGATTCAGCAGGTTGTAACTTCATGCTAGGCTTTTTCCGAGAGTGATTAAGCTATTAGAATGGTATAGTAACTGTATTTGTGGCCATAAATAAGTACTTGAATGTAATTCTGAAGCTATATTCTTTTCAATAGGCAAATGGATAAACCAAAGCAACATTTAGATTAATGAAAAGTATGCTGTCCAGCATAAACGTCTCCAGCTTATCCAAATGTGTTCATAGGTACTGTCATCCTGTACTGTACTGTACTACTTAACTTACCATCTTTTTACCTTCTAATACACTCTGTAAACATGTTTTAGCACCTCCTGGATTATCATGACCAAATCACTGATTTAGGCAATATCCCATCTGTTTCTAAGCTTTGATTTCTCACTGCCTCATTGGCACATCATGTATCTCAGATTTCCAGGTTGAATTCACAAGCACTGGTGTTGTTTGTTAGAACTTGCCTATCAGCTTGGTATGGTCCAGAACACAAAGAAAAGATTTTATACGTGAGATAATACAGTCAGGACAAAACCATAAGGTTGTTGATCCAGGGTTGAAAGACTTAAAATTTAATTTTTCTCTATATGTGGATCTGAAGTTGCTATTAGGTTTTATAGCTGATTCAGTTCTTAGGCAGTGACAGTACGATCCTGTTAAGCTGCATTAATCACATCCCACTTATGGATGATTTCTTTATAGATAAAAACATCAGCAGATTGAAGAAAGTTGCATGTGTAAATGAAAAGTACTGAATCCATGGTGGTTACACATGACTCTTTTATGTGTCAATGAAATTATTTTTCTTTCCTCAACAAAAATACCAGGAAGTAAGGTGGGAGGTTTGGCCCAAAATCTAAGGTACATAAAAATGATAAGTTCTGAGTGTGTGCTATTACTGATGAGTCTGTACAAATGTTCTCTTTATTTACAGGTATCATGAGCTGGTACTACTATGTGACTATGCCAATGCCAGCATCCACCTTCACTATTGCTGTGGGGTGCTGGCAGGAAGTTAAACAGCAGGGCTTCACAGCTGCTATCCAGACAAACACTAAGTTTTCCCTGCCATCTTCACAAGCTGATTTCAGGTTAGTGTTCAGAATACTGTTGAAAAATGAGGTACATGGGTAGCATTTTCATTTACTCTCTGGAATGTGAAAGTGAGTCAGTACAGGAATCAAAACAGAACTTGTTTAATCTGAACAGAAAAATCTTGACAGGAAAATAATTCCAAAGGCATTATTTCATGGGCAAGGGTGTGGTTCTTTGTATGTGGAAACAAGCTGGTTAGTGAGCAACAGGGTTAAAAAATCCTGGTGTCCTCTGGATTTGTATTCTACATCCTGTATCTCTTAATGCCCTGATGCAGCAATAACACATCCTCCTTTGTTTCTTACGGTGCCTGGCTGTAAGGTCTGTCATGTTACCAGACTCAGGATGTTTGGATACCCAGCGCCCCTCACAATATTGCCTACTCATTCACGTTTGTCATTCCTGTCCAGTCCCATCCCAGAGCTAGAGCTGGCCTGTGCAGTGTGGCTTTCCTGGGGTGATGTGACTGGGTACATGAAAGACAGTTGGGCCATAAAACAAAGTTGGGCCAATGTTTCTTTTCAATGAAAAAATACCCTGTCGTCTGATGTATGCAGTGGTTACTCGGCTGTCTTTTGGATACATCTATTCCTTCTTCTAATCTAGTCAAAACTGCTCATTAAGTTTAAATTATTACAGAGTAATGGATGAACAGAACAATACTATATAGGTCTGCAAGTGACATTTAAAGCTAAAAATTCTCTGGAGAAGTAACATTTGTTTGCCTGTGTATTCATAGTTAGCAGAAGTCTCAGACATGGCACTTGATTTACTCACATATTACTCTCAACTTCTGAAATTCATAGAGTCATAGAATCACAGAATTCCAACAGCCCAAGTTGGAAAGCACTTTAAAAGATCGTCTGGTTCAGTGTGTAATGGGAAGGGAAGCTTAGATGAGGTTATCTAGCACTCATTTCCCCTTGTCTTCTCCTTGTGAAGGGAGACTGTGCCCTTTGTAGATGCCTTTTAAGTACTGGAATGCTGCAACTGAGCCTACCCTCCCCTGCTCCTGTCCTCAGAAAAAGCCTAGCTCCTCCTGCCTTTCCTCACAAGGCAGGTTCTTCAGCCTTTCTTTCATTTTGTTGGCCCTCCTTTGGACCCTCTGCTGTCTGTGTCTTTCTCGAAATGTAGGGACCAGAACTTGACGCAGTATTCCAGATGCAGCCTGACGAGCACTGAACAGAGTGCGGTGATCATGTCTCTGCTAGTAATGCCCCTGTGGATGCAGCCAAGGATCTGATTTGCCTTTGTTTTTGCAGTGGTGCTCTGTAGAATCCTGTTGAGCTTGTTGTCCACCAGAAACCCTGGGTCCCTTTCGGGAAGGCAGCTCCCCAGACACACAGGTCCTAGCCTGTGCTGGGCTCTTTGGTTGTGTTATCCCAGGTGCAGGACTTCGAACATGTCTCTGTTGAGCTTCACACCATTCTTTCTAGCCCCTTCTTCCCACCTGTCCAGGTTTCTCTGTAAGATGCTCTCCCTTCTGACATGTTCACCTCACCACCCTGTTTGGTGTCATCAGCCAACCTGGAGAGGGTGTTTTCAATCCCATCATCCAGGACATTTGTGAAGACGCTGAACAGCATGGGACCAGCATTGATCCATGGGGGACTTGTGACAGGCTGCCAGCCTGAGTGTAAACCACTGATTATTGTCCTCTTGAGTGCAGCCTGTGAGTCAAGTTCCCACACGTCTTACAGACCATCCATCCAGTCTGTATTTCACCAGTTTGTCCAGAAGGCTGTGGGAAACTGTGATGAATGTTTTGCTGAAGTCCAGGCAAACAATATCCACTACTATTCCCATGTCAACAGAAAATGTTATTTTGTTGTAGAAAAGGGGTCAGCTTAGTCAGGCCATAAGTATTTTTTGCTGTTATGCGCTTAGAAATTTAACCAAGACAATACTTCGCTTTTAAATTTACGGTTTGGGCTTATGCTGTGTTAATGTAAAGACAGTAGACATCTTTACCATGTGATAAAGCTAGAGAGAATTTGGAACTTGAGGACCTAATAGGGATTTCTTATTAGAATTTTAAATGGAAGTATTCTGATGGCTTGCAGCATGACTAGTTTTGTAAACTGAAAATTGTAATAAATCTTGAGAATAAGAATTCTTATATTTTACCTAAGACCGGTAAGACATGAGTATTCAAGCTCTAAAATAGTTTATAGGTCTGATAAGCTTCTATTAGTTTTTTTTTTGGGGGGGGGCGGGGGGGGGGGAGGGGAGTTTCCTTTACTATAGTATGTTTTTAATATGATTGCCTCTACAGAAATATGCTGTAGATGTTCACTATATATTCCTCTCTAATGTATAGTGTGTTCAGTAATAGAAATTTTTATTGATTTGGTGCAAAATATTATCTGGCAGAGCACTGAAAAAATAAATGAAAGTTTCAAATTTTTTTGTAAAACTTTTGAAAAGATAATGGAGATAAACTCCTTAGGAGCGGGAAAAGGAAAGATTTCTGAAAGTTGTTGAAATGTCCAGTGTAATTTATGTCCAGATGCCAGTGAGTTTGACATAAGGAAGCTGTATCAAAGAAAATGGTAAATAGAACTAGAGTGTTAAGTATGTTTCCTATCTCCTTGAGGTCATTAAGAACTTGGCAACTTTTACTAGAGATAGGGTACTAGCTTTCATGTTCTTGCATAATGTCAACTCTGATAATGAAATACAAAGTGACGTTATTTTAGAGCAGAAATATACTGGGCTAGACCACACTTGGAAAAAAAATGTATAATGATGGATGTACATTTTTTGCATATATAATCAATGAAATAACATAGAGTTCACTTCTTTCACAGGAGGAGTTACATAAGGTGTGAAAAGTGTTGGCACCTAAGCAAAATGTAGTCCTTTTCTGTGTGTTATTACTTTGTTTTGTATGTCAGCACTCACCTGGAGCATGATCTTCCAAATATAAATGCTTTGGGTGGTGCTGGTGCAATAACAATAAATGCTTTGCCCGTTCAGACATAGAGCCAGCTTCCTTAAGTTAAATCTCAAACCAAGGAGAGGCTCTGCACTGTAGAGAAGTCAGGCTAACAGGTGAAAACATGAAACTGATTTCTGCTTAGATATGTCTGTTTGGGCAGATAAATTATTGTGAAGGTATATGACTCAGTATTTAGGAAGGATTTGATTTACCCCTCCTTTCTTCCAGCTACAGCTCTGAATGTACTGTAAAAGTAATGTAAATTAAGCTTGATCCTAAGAAAAAAAAAAACAAGCATGTAAACATTTTCAGATGTCTATAGTGATCTGAACTGATATCTACTCTTAGTTTTTACTTGCAAAGAAACAAAAACCCAGTAAAAGTTCCTGAAGAATTTTAATAACAACAGAAAAAAGCCCCCTGTGAATTTCATTCTAATTACACTTACTATTTTAATAATATATAAAATTTTATGTTTGTAGTCAAGTTTGGATATGAATTCTCTGAATATTTTTGTATAATTAGTTTTCTTTAAGTACATTTTGAGCACTTATTCTTTTAATCCATTTCTATTATAAAACCAAGGTTTGATTAGTTTTTTTAGATATGAGTAACTATATCAGTTCTACTCAGACATGTAGTAATGAGTGTTTTCACAGTGCTGGACATGTGTGAACAGTGTGAGAATACAAGTGAGTTGGGTTAATGTGAACTGTCATTCTGATGTTTAGAGAATATCTTTCTCAGTTTACACAGTTTTGCCCATTTCTGGTATCACATTAAACTTTTTTTTTTTTTTTTTTTTAAGTTTTGCTATTGGCAGATGGCATGAAGAAATTTGTGGCCATGTGGAATATCCCTGCCGTTTCCAGGATCCTGCTGCCAGGTTGGAGGCAGTCATTCCTTACAGAGTCTTTACTCCCCATTGCCTTATGGAATGCTGTGAAGAATATTTGCTTCAGCTAATTCCTCAGTGCCTCTCAGCTGCTTACACCACACTGGGTACCCACCCCTTTTCCAGGCTTGATGTTTTGATAGTTCCTTCCAACTTTTCCAGCCTGGGAATGGCTAGGTAATGAAACTTCTTAGTATATGATCTCCTGTATTTTATTAGACTCCTTTTTATCAGCTAGTTAACAGTGTCAAATTGCTGTCAATATAAAGTTGCTGTGCTATTTTTCTTAACTGAAACTTAAGACTCTAATTCTGTCTTCATGCGGTTAGGTTTGTTTGCATCCTTTGTGCTACGATCTTTGATTTTAGTTTTAACAAGACTTAGGGAAGGAAAATATAATCTTACTAGACATGTGGGTCTCAGTTTCCTCATTTGCCAAACTGAGCATTTTTTATTGGTTCTATTGATTTAAATACTTGATGCTGCTATCACTTTGTCATGTTTTCTTTTGGCATTTATGTCACATATGTCTTGACAGAGAAAAAGCATGTTAAAATCCAGATTTAGAGTTTATTCATAGGCCTTTGTGATTTACAAGTTTTTAGTCAAGCAGTGGGCTTTGAAAGCTGAGTAAGGGAAACTGTAAGGATTATAGGATCAAGTTTTCATGGAATTATTGAGAATAAAAAGCTTAATGAAATATTTTTGGTTTTACAGTATAATTTGCATTTGTGCACCAACAATAGAATTTTAGCTTTATTATTTGTAAGACAATGTGTAGCAATTGCAATTTGCCATTTGCTTTTTTTTTTTTTGTAAATATTTTTTAAGTTGGTAATAAGATAGCATTTATTAATAGCAGAGAATGAAACTTCGTACTCGCGCTTTGCCCAGTGCCAACAGTAGAGTGGATTCATCTAGGCAGATGGACACAGCATTCCAGATAAGAATTAAATGCAAAGCTCTGTGAGAAAGATGGGGACTGGAAGGGGAGATGTATTCCCAGACTGTTGGGTTTGTGTTTTGAAGCTCTTTAGGGAAGTTGTCGAGTAGATTTGGTATCTGAAGCAACTTCGGATTGCATAAATTGTGAGTCCAAGTGCTGTGATCAACCAGAAGGTTTATTTCTTTTAACAAACTATATAATTAATCAAATTAGGAAATAGTTTATGCTATGTGTTTTGTTTCTTATTTATATAGATTTTTTTCTACAGCTTTCCTCTTGTAATCCTCCTTAGGAATAAAAGTATACAATTATGCGGGAGTGTAATAATATCATACAGCTTTACTATAAAATTACTTCTTTTTTTTTTTTGTGAATATTATAAAATTTAAAACTTAAGCATTCAGTGACCCCCCTCTGTCATATAAGCCTTGTAACTCTAGACATCTTGTAGTGGTTGTTGAGTTTTCAATGACAGCTCTTTGCTCAATGAACTCCTGAACAAAAGCATCAACAAACTTACCTTAAGTCCTAGTTGCTTTGGGCACCCACCGCAGATTGTAGTCTCTGATACTTTGTCTAGAGGTTTGATTTGAAGGTGTGATACTCTGTACCATGCTCTTAAAGCCATATGAAATTGGTAACACTGCTTGGCAATTTCCTCTGACTCACGGGCATGGCACTAAAAGGTTGACGTAGGTCCTTATGGATCACTGTAATTAAGGAAGAAATTGGCCATTTTACTTAGCTGGGTAATAAGAGGAGTGATCAGTGCAACCACAGAGGGCAAGACACTAGAAAAAAAAAAAAAGCGGAGAGAGATGTCTAGGCCAAATGACAGCAGGAGAAATCTTCAGGTTTCAGTTGTTGATAGCTACTGCTCTTTGGGAAGTTGTCAGAGCTTCCCCTGGATGTACATGTCCCAGAATTTATAGGGAAAAGATGCCTGCAGGGTATTCTGTTGCAAAACTATCTGTGGTTGTCCAAGTCCAGATTGCATGTTCAGAATATTGTAATTGTGCTTTCTTTGTGAAGGAGATGAAAAAAACCTATCCTTTTAATTCCCTGTGCTTCTTCTAACCACTGTCAGTTCCAGGTGATCCATATAATTGAATATAGGTAAAGGTTGAAAGAAAGAACATGCATACTTCCTAATGCTTTTCATTCAACAGTTCATCAAGCCAAGCACATTCAAATTTTTCAAAATTGTAATAAAGGAATAATTTAATCTGTTTAAATGTCAAGCTGTATTTGGACAGCAAAAGAAATTAAGTGACTCAAAATAGCTCGTTTGTTCTTGTTCCGTGTGATATTTCAAATAAGACTTCTATGTGTATAGCAAGCTACTTAAATGATTAATTCCTGTGCATGCAATGATGATTACCTAAATTACTTCAGTTAAGAATAAGCGATGTGCAAACCCATGTCCAAACCCACATTAAAAAATAAAGTTAGCTATTATCTTAGGTTGAAAGGGGTGCTGTAGTATTTATTTTTTAATCTTCTAGTCTATGTGTAGCAGTATAAACATAACACAGCATGCCAGCACAAAGGAGCTGCTGTTTTAAGAATTCTAATTGTACTCCTGTGTGCCAGGGAAGGAAGCAGTCATAAATTTTAGTCATTATCTGAAGTATCAGGGCTTTACAGCATTTGGCACTTTTCTTTGTCTGTTCTCATTTGCCAGTACTTACTGTGTTTTTTTGTATCCCAAAATACTTCCTTTTGCTTAAGGGGGATATTTCCCCAACATTTTAAACTGCTATGAAATGACTAGAGTTCTTGCATAGATTGACCTAATTGGGACTTTTAAGCTGTTTATTCCAGTAGCCACTAGTGTGGGTCAGTTGCATTTCTCTTGACAGATCCTTTATAAGAAAAATTCTAGTTGAAAGCATATTAATTTAACTTGTATTTTCTGTACATGTCTTCATGTGTTTTTTAATTTGTTATGGACTTCTGTATAGGAACAGGATCTTGACTGTATATAATAATTGCAATCATCCCCTTTTGCTTCCCCCTGCAGATCTTTGAAGGTGGAGGATTTAATTTTGCACTCACTCTTGTCTTTATAATGTTTTAGTTCAAGTGATTCAGTGTAGTTTCTCCCAAATTTATGCTAGTAAAAGAAGAATGTGGCCTACATGTCTTTGTTGGCAATATTATGTTAAACTGTACCTAAATTAAATGAATAAAGCATTGTGAACCAAATTTAAATAGCTTAAAAGCCAGAAATTCAGGGTTTTCGGTAGAATTTTGAGAGTTTCATGAACCCCTAACAGCACTTAATTGTCTAATTTTAAGTTCTGTCACTAGCAGAAGGGAGTGCATTGGAGAAAAAAGAGTAGGGAAGTGTGTCAGACAGCAAAGACTCTGGGTAGTTTAGCGAAGAGATCCCTGACCTCGTGCTACACTGAAAGGTACGCATTGTTCATGTACTTGGAGAGCTAAGAAGTTAAAAGCAGGAGGTTAAAAGCACCATATTCTGCTCTTGATGATGACATGCTACTTCCTGAGGAGTTGTCAACTCTGCTGGCATTTAAGTAGCAGTTATTTCAGGGTTGCAAGTGCTCTCATTTTGAGCCACTAGTTACCCATATGAACAAAGCTGGCTGGAAGACTTCAAATAAAAAAACAGGGTCTGTGTGTTCCCTGGTTCTTTGCACTCTTCAGATTGGTTCATTCTCTAGTCTAGTTTTATTGATCACATTTGAAAACAACAGTGTTTCAAAATATCTTCCTACTTCTACTTAATTTCCTTTCCTTTTGGAAAACCTGAAGAGAGTCTGAATTCCTTGTTCTTTTTCATTCCCTGAGGAAGAACATTCTTTCAAATACGGGGAACTCTTTTTATGCCACCTGAGCATGTGCTTGAGACCTTGACTTCCCTTGCAGTGTTCAATTGCCTAAGTCCTTGTTTTGTTTTCTTTTTTTTTTTTTTTTTGTTTCCCCATGGAAATAGTTTTTTTCTTTGATAACTATTGAGGGCCTTTCACAGTCACACCGATCTCTTGTATTTCTATGGTTTTAGAAACAGCTTACCTCTTTCTGCTTCTTCACAGCAAATGTGCTGATATTTATTTTACTCCCCCGGGGGTTGTAAGCGTTTGTTTGCATTGAGTTGAAGTACTTTTTTTGAAACAGTGGTCTTCAAAGCCTTTTGTTTCTGTCACACACAATTTAAATAACATAAGATTACTGCTTTTTTTTTGGTTTAAATTTATGTGCTTTAACTGTACTAGTTCTATAGTAAGTGCTAGCACAATTTAAAATTCTTAGCCAAGCAGAATGTGTCAATAACTTGAATAGTCATGTCACATGTTACTGAGAGCTGGACAGGTATAATGAGAAAAGTGTCTCTTTTGTTTATACTGTTTCCTTAAACACTTATTACTGATGAAAACAGAATAATGGGATAGATGAATTTCTGGTCTTACCTACTTTGGCTGTGTGTATAGCAATTTTGCTCAGCGAAGCTAGCAAGTAAGTGGGACCAAAGAACTTTTCAGCAAGAAACTGACATTTTCAAAACAGGATCCAAGTGTTAGGTTATTTGAATCCTATTGGGCTCTAAAATTAGTGGCCTTATTTTCAAGTATGAAACAATGGCTAGACACCCTTGAAACCCAAATGGTATTTGATGACAGAAGCATAGAAGATGCTTGGCATATTTGTAAATCAGGTCACCTCATATAGCTGGCTATATATATGGATTTAGCAACTCTTCTTTCAATTCCTAGTTTTAAAGGTCTTAGTCACTCTTCTGTCATGTAAATAGTCTTTGATATTTTAAGAGGAAAGAATATCCCTTTCTTCAGAACATGGTGTACCAGCAGAACTCCTGAGTGTTTCCAGACCATGTAACTAAGGTTGTTAACTTTTTAAATTGAGAAAGGAGAAGAAGAAGGAAAAAAAAATTGTGGTGGGGGAAAGTAGCTTCTTTGCCTCTTTATTTTAAAGCAGTTTCTTTTGATCCATGCATCTGTGGCCACCGTTTATCTGATCTGTGTGTCTGCAGTGTTCTGGTGACAACTGATAAGTGTGTAGTAAAATCAGCCAGGAATATTGGAAAACATCCAAATGTCAAACCTAAATGTGAGTCTTTAGTACTGCTCAGTCTTGCAGACCTGTGACTGATCGTATGCCTCAACTGCAGAGCCTTGTGTATTTCCATATAAAATTTTTTGCACATTTTCAGTTCTTCTAATTTGGCAAAATACATACAACTCAGCTC